ATACAATTTTTCGTCGACGATTTCGAAAACACGAATCAATCGATTTGAATGATTCAAAAAACATTCGATTCATATTGATAAGGAGACGTGCTGATAAGTTTTTGGCGAAGGTAGTTCAGCCGTTCTGAAGATACGGGCAAAAATGCCCAAAATGGTAATTAAATTTTTGAGAGAACGGGGCATCCGATTTGAATGATTCAAAAAACATTCAGCAGGCAGATCTAGCCGTTTCGAAGATCCAACAAAAAAAGGGAAAAAATGCCATTTGGGGGTCAAAAATGATAATTAGCGTTATGCACATCAAATTATATAATATTTTTATGGATTTCAATAATGGGAATTAATTTTATTAACTTTTCGTAAAGTAAGTTATAGTAATGGCAAAAAAAATCGAGAATGAAAACTTCTATATAACTTTACGTTTCAAAATTTTCTGAACATTTTGGCATATCTTAGAAAAAATGGATGTATGAGTGTGTGTGTGTGTGTGCGGATACAATTTTTCGTCGACGATTTCGAAAACACGAATCAACCGATTTGAATGATTCAAAAAACATTCGATTCATATTGATAAGGAGTTGTGCTGATTAGTTTTTGGCGAAGGCAGGTCTAGCCGTTTCAAAGATACGGGGCGTGCCGCTTAAGAGAACGGAGCATCCGATTTTAATAATTAAAAAAAGATTTTTCTTGTATTGACAAGTTGAAGAACTGATTGAATTTTTGGGAAGGCAGGTCCTGCGGTTATGGACTCGCAATGAAAATAAGTTAAAAAAATGTCATTTGGCGGTCAAATGTACATGAAATGATCAGAGATTTTGTAGAGATTTTAATAATGTGTATACATTTTGGGCTCCGTACCAAGAATTTTAATTACGGTACGGAAAGTTCCAGCAATTTGCCTTAAGGCACGATGCCATTCACCCCACTAGTTTCTTATTCATGTTTCAAAGATAAGGTTACCTGACTCAGAAATCATGTTACGATTCCAAGCATTTTCCAATTGCATTTATCTTCTTTCTAGTCACACACATATATAAAAGACTAGTTGGTTGGTATTTAGCCTTGAGGCAAGTTACATGAACTTCCCGAAATGTGTAATAATCGACTTAATAAAAAATGTGTAAATAATATACTTCATTAATCCTACTTTAAAAAAAAACGATAATAATTTTAGCAAACTTTGACGAATTTTTAAAATTAAACTACTTGTCGTTAGGCCATAATATTACAGTAAGTTCTATAACCATGATGTATATCGCCAAAAAAAATTTACATGAAAATCGGCTTAAATTTTTTTTTCAACAGTTAATTACAAGAAAACGGCTCGGTGATTTTTCACCTAAAATTAATCAGTACCATTCCCAACTAATAACTTCGAAAGTTTTTTTGATATTTTAAAATCGGTTCGGTAGGATGAGCTTAAATGTCGACGAAAATTTAACACTTTTTTTCAACAGTTAATTACAAGAAAACGGCTCGGTAGATTTTCACCTAAAATTAATCAGTATCATTCCCAACTAATATCTTTCGAACAGTTTTTGATTTTTTAAATCGTTCGGTAGGATGAGCTTAAATGTGGACGAAAAGTTTTTTTCAAATTACAAAGAAACGGCTTGGCAGATCGTTGCACAAAACTGACAAACGATAGTCCTCCACGAAATACATCAAATGGCTTTTAAATTTCTAAATCGGTTCAGGCGTTTTTGAGAAAACGTCGATCAAAGTCTAATTTTGACAAATGCCAAAAAGACCATACTGATTTTTGCAAACTTTGACGAATTTTTAAAGCTGAACCAGTTGTCGTAGGGCCGTAATATTTTAGTATGATCTAGAAGACTATGGTATCTATCGTCAAAAAAATAATCATAAAAATCGTCGAAATTTTTTTTTTAAAAACTTTATTACAAGAAAACGGCTCGGCCGATCTCTACCAAAAACTAATCAGCACGATTCCCAACCAATATCTTTCGAACGGTTTTTGAATTTTCAAAATCGATTCAGAATTGCGGGCTAAAACGTAGACGAAAAATTTTTCACTTTTTTGCCATTTATGAAGAAACGGCTTGGCCGATCGTCGCACAAAACTGACAAACAATAGTTCTCGTCGAGATACATCGAATGGCTTTTAAATTTTTGAAATCGACCCAGCCGTTTTCGAGAAAACGTCGATTTACGGCAAAAAATCTGTTCACACACACACACACACACACACACACACACTACTTTTCCAAATTTGGTCTCATTCGATTCAGAATGGCTTGAAACGTCGAGAAAACATAAAATTAGCGAATCGGGTTTTTTGATGAAAACATAAACTTCTCCTTCGGGAAGTTAATAAGTGTGAAGGTGAAGACTAAACATATGCAGTCCCTTTCGCACACAAGGCGTCTCTGTTTCTTCGATATGTCATTCGAAAAGACGGTTGAATTTAAAACTTCAGGCGTCAGTTTTCTCATACGTGGTTACAAGAATTGAGTAGAACAGAACTCACCGACTCAAAACCGCGCCAAAACTTGACAACTGCTATATTACCGTAGCATATATGTTTACATAATGCACAAGATTATTTTTCAATATTATTTTTTAACAATATAGTACGAATTTATAGATGAAATAGTTATTACATAGTTTTAATACATAATTTGAAAATAACCTAAGATTTTTAACGATGCCAAGGGTAAGAAGAAAATATCGTAAAGATAGTATTCTTTGTGTGAAACTAGGTAATTTTATATAAATGAAATTTATTTATCACTTTATCCTACCTATTTCTAATTTGTTATAACTTTTTTAGAACGTTTATCTTCTCGTATATTACGAAAATATAATGTCGACGTAAGTAAAGTTAACCGCAGAAGTTTAAGAAACATTATATGTTCTCCCCAAGCAGTTAAAGAAAATGAAACAATATCTGTTGAGCAAAAAAAATCTGTGAAAATTTCATCACAAACTAGTGGTAGCTCAGCTTCTAAAAAAAGTGATAAAGGAACTCACCTACGAAGATATTCTGTGGTTGACCCAGAAAGGTCAGAATATGTAGTAGAAGCTATTAGATCAGTTACAATTTTTAATAACATTCCCAGATACGAAGTGAAATGGTTATATTGGGGAGAGGAATACAATACATATGAACCACAGCAGAATCTGAACTGTTCTGTAGCGCTACAAAATTTTTTAGATAGCGAATACACTAAGTTTGAACCTGAAATTGAAGTCCTGATCAAAGAGCTTGCGGTAGGCCCCATGTTCACAGACAGTGCTTTAAAGGAATTTATAGTCACAGGTGTAACATTAGATGAAACACTACTAAAAAGTTATTTATTAGGCCTTATTGTAAATCCAAAAGCTAAAAATCATGTTAAAGTATTGCAAAGAGTGCAAAGCTTGTTGCAGAAAAAAATATTTTTAGACAAACGAAAGTCCCAAATTGAAGCATTAAGAGAATGGGAAAATAAAATGAATGAGGTAGATATTAAAGGAAAACTAAGAGTTATAAATAATGTTGATTTTGAAGGACCCCCTGCTGATTTTACATATATTATACAAAATCTACCAGCTGACGATGTTAAAGTTTCCAACAACCCCTCTATAGGTTGCTCTTGTATGCCTTGTGGATTTAAGACAAATTGTTGTGGCAAGTTGCATGGATCGGAGTATGCATATTTTGCTGAAAAACGTCTAAAACACACTGGAATATATATTTTTGAATGCAACAAGAAGTGTAAATGTGGACCTGAATGTAAAAACAGACTTGTACAAAAAGGCCGTACTAACAAACTTTGTATTTTCAAAACCTCAAATGGGTGCGGATGGGGTGTGAAAACAGATCGACATATAAAAGCTGGTGATTTTGTTTGTGAATATGTTGGGGAGATCATTAAATCTGACGATGCTGAACAAAGGGGACAATTGTATGATAAAATGGGCGTTACATACTTGTTTGACTTGGATCATTTAAATCCTTCATCAGAAGCTTATACAATCGATGCATACAGATATGGAAATGTATCCCATTTTATTAATCATTCTTGTGAGCCAAATCTTTGTGTAGTTAATGTATGGGTTGATTGCCTAGATCCAAATTTATCTCGTTTGGCTCTATTCGCATTAGAAGACATTGAAAAAGGACAAGAAGTCACTATAGATTACAAATTCAGTGCCAATGTACCAATTGAAGACAATGTTATATCAGCTGAAAACTTATATAATAATATTTCATCAACTAAATTTACTAAATCTTTATGTGATATATTGGATTCTGTCAATATCTTGAATAAAGACTATGGAAATACATTAGATTTACCTGATGCCGGCATAGGATTGTCCAATACTGATCCAGCTGAAAATGCTTGTTCCCAAAGCTCAAAGTTCATGCTTTGTAAATGTGGAGCAAAAAGTTGTAGAAGGATTTTGCGGTATTGTTAATAAAATTATTGTACTATAGTTTATTTATAAATTAATTTAAATCGAAAAAAAATTCTAAAAACAATGGTTTAGCAGTTTTCCTCTGTAACAATATGAAACAAAATTATTTGAATAATTAGAATTATTTATTTAATTTGAATATTCTGAACAACTATAAGATTTCTTTGCTGTTCTATTTCATTTTTTTGTAGATTTGCTTTACAGAAAGGTGTTGAGGAAAATAATAAGCAAATTCAAATTTTTATAGTAAATAATAGAATATTCAAAATTTATAGCTAATAAAATTTATTTAAAGGTATTTGGATTATAAACAGTTCAATCAGATAATAGACATTGGTCAGATTGTTCTCTAAAAAAATTCAAAAATATATAAAAAAAATTGTACAAAATAAACTGAAATTAAATTCAAAATCTGTTATAAGATCTTTTGATGAGTTTGATATACTTTTCGATGATGGTTGGAGATTATTTAATGTTGTTTTATTTTCAAAGTGACGCTATGATATATAATTTATCTTTTTAGATATTCTGAATTGTATGTTAAAAATCTTATTAAAAATTTACTGAAAGTGTGAATGAATTTAGAATTCAAATGTATAATGCTTTCAAGGAATTTGTATTAATGTCACAATTCAACCTTGCAATCAATTTTATGTTTGAGATGAACTGGATTTTATCTTTACTCATATGCATTTTAAATTCAAATTGTTAAAATGTTAAATTTTTGAATAGTTAAATTTTAGGTTTTGTTGAATATCATATTCTTGGTATGAATTAGTTAATTTTTAGCAAACGTTGTGTATATTAATTTGTTTAAATTGAATTCAATATTTTTATCAATTTTAATTTAAATTTGAACAATTTTAATGATACTTTTATAGATTTATTGATAAATCAGTTTAAAAATTAAAAATATGTAATATGCATTTATATATAAAAAATAAAATGCTGTGTGTGTTTCAATAAAGTAAACAATGTTGTGAAATACTAAAAATTTATGGAGTTTATTGTCATCTATATCTATTCATTCGTTTAAAGTATTTATTACATATTTTACAATAACTTAAATATATATATATAATATATAATCACTTATAAACATAAGTGTTTGCAATATTTACAATTAATTATTACACTCAAGCTCTATTTAAGGAAAAAACAATGTTATTTGAATTAGGTACAATTTGCCACTTTATATAAATCTGAGACATTGCAGCTAAATGCTTAACAGGCTGATAGCTATATTTTTTTTAAATTTAGCAGAGGTATAATTATTGAGTGCATTTTGATTTTTTATACATAAATTTAAAATACTATTTAATTTGAATCAACAATAAAGCATTTTAATATTCATGTAAATTATCTTGAGGTCTTGGAATATAAATAAATATTTAGATGTAACTTATGTATTAATTTAAACAGTCACAATTTGTTTACTAGAAAATTTCTTGCAGAAATTTGTAGTAAGGCAATTCAAGAAGATTTTTTCAATTTATTCAAGCGCAGTAGTAGAAAAATGTGACCTTTCAAACTGGGTATCATACAATTGTCTGTATCACTAATTTTCAGATATATGTTTTAAATAACAAGTTTAAATATTATTGAAAATTATAATTCCTTTTTTAATATAAAAAAGATAACTTTGCATTTGGAGAGAAGTCTTGTGAGAAGTAACTGTGGTCCATAGAAAATTAAATATATAATGGTAAAATATAAAGTATTATCAAATATGAAATTATTTTGATACACTCCTGATTACCACCTGATTATTATCTAAAAATGCTCATAACAAATTTTTTAATAGTAAATAGTTCTTTAACATCCTGCTATACAATTAACATATTGAATAAATACTGGTGGTCATTTTATTTTGCCTAATAAAATAATTGAATCTATAATAAAGTACTTTCCCACTCTCAGGAACTAGAAATTTGACTGCTTTCTTCATTGCTTGATAGATGTGCGTTATGTCTATAAGAAGTCTTATTCGAACGTTTGAACCATGTGCCGACCATTTGTCCTATTGATATGTTTTCGCAATCGGTGGAATTGCATGATTTCATAAATCCTGCAGATAAAGATATATGCATACAAAAAAATTACATAAATTATAACAAATTTATAAAATTAATTCGGTTTTGCAGAGACATTAGGTCGATTCTTATTGATCAAAATGATTATACACTATTAGATAAAAAAAAATATTTTTTACGAAAAAAATTCTTGCATCTGCCTTGATCATAAAACTTTAAAATTCATTTATTCACCATTGGTATATATAAATTTTAAAATTATTTTATTATACACCATAAAAACAATATAAAAACCCACAACAAGATGCAATTTTGTGTAAGCGAACAACATTCCTTTGATCAAAATATTCATTAAAAATCATTGTATTTTCTTAACAATGTAGTAGAATATTCGTTGATTTATTTTTAATAGTGCTTTGTGTCGAGATTTTAAACATAATTATTTTATTGGTGGACTATTATATACATTTCATAGAGACATAAACAAGAATTTATTAAATAGGAAATTAGTTATACCTGCAGGCTCCTTTGAGCTGGCAAGCAAAGCCAGCCTCTTGACTTGTGGAGTGATTTTAAAATCTTGTTGGTCATCAGCAATAATTAATCGCTCTTGTTTTAAAGCCTCTAACCACTTCTGTTTACTTTTCGACGATCTTACATAAAATATTGTCGATTTGTTATCTTTATGTGAAAACAATCTGAAACAATGCCTCGAAGAAATGCCTAATGGCATGTCTTTTCCATCAACGACATCAAAAAATTCTGTATCATCCAATAGAATTCGTCCTTTATATATGTATGTGTTTCGTTTCAGTATATCCTAAAAATATTTTTAAATTTATACACCATCATGGTTATTGGTACTTTTAGTGATAAAACTTACTTTTTTGCAATAAATGATTTGATGATCAAATAAAAATAGTGTGACAGAAAATGACCACATGCTCGTAGACATTTTGACTGCTTCTCCTTGATGGATGAGCTGAGAACTTCTTTCTATTAAGTCTTCCCCCTATTAATAAATTAGTAAATATATATTTTTTATTTAAAATCATTTTGTTTCACGTTAGTAGCTAATTTTATTTACTCACCTCCCATCCATCAATTCGTTTTTGCCATTCAGCTAGTTTTTCTAAAGATTCCATTTTCCTTTTGCGTTCATTAATTAAAATAGCTACACCTCTCATACAAGTTAGTGCTTCTTGTATATATTTGAAATCTAAAAATAAATTTGTTTATAAGATATAAGACAATATGAAAAAATGTGCAACAATGACTAAATTGCGAGCAAAAATATGATAACACTAAATAAATAATAATTCATATGAAACTATAATGCATCCAACTATAAAACAACAGGTTGAATAAAAAAATGCATTACCTTTATGCTCTTCAGGTGTATATTTTAGTAGTTCGGCCAATTGCAAAGGATATTTGCAAATTCTTTGAACAGGAGCTAATAATGGCCACCTAAAGGAAGAGGTGGTAGGCCTCTCAATAGGCGGCATGCCTCCATAAAATGCGCGTGAGGTTGTGACGTTAAAACCGCTTGTAATGTTGTAATTGCAATGGGATGTGTATTGCAATATTCCGAATATAATTGGAAACCAGATTTCTAAAAAGAAAAGGCAGAATAAATTAGGGGGCGTCCATTAATCAAATGAGTTTTTTACGCGGAGGGACGGGTTTGGCAAAAAATCACAAAATATCACGTGGGGGAGGGAGGGATATGGTAAGATGTCACGTGTATTTATTTTATACCTGATTCTTTTCAAAAAAGTCCAACCAACTAAATAAAAATCGAAAGTTTTGCATTTTTTTCTCGTAACTAAAATACACGTGATGCTTGGTTGGGTAATGGGGGTTAATTTTAATATTACCACGTATCAACTAGAGGAAAGGGGGTTCAAAAATCCTTAAAAAGTCGATCAGGTGATTAAAAATAAAATTATAATATAAGTATGTATAATGTGGCAGACGCTTCATGTTTATCCATCGATTTAATGTTTCAATGGTAAGTCGGACTCTCGAATCTCTTATTTTTTTTATAAAATTTATTATTGATATTTATGAATATAGATTGAAATAAATCTTATTATATTTATCAGTATAACAGTTGATAACAGTATTTAAGAATATCAAGTATAATAAATTTGTGAGGTGAGGTTTGATGGTTTGATTGTCAATAAAAATAATGCCATTATCGCTAGACAATATGGGAATAATATATTCATTAATTAAAAAAATAATATTATATTAAAATCATATTGAAACCAAAATATAGTAAAAATAATAAATAAAAATAGTAAAAAATACAAAATTTTCAATACATTCATATTAAGTTGGCATCACTACATTTTATATTCTTCATTCGTCGACTAACTTCAGAACAGTTTTTCCAAAACAATGGCGCCGTAATTTATTAACCGTAAACAATGGTCCGTCAGTTTATGTCATTACTTTTTAATTTTATCGAATATTTGTAACCTGTTCAATTATAAATCTTGTTAAAATATGTGTGTTGTTTGATAAGTGATTACTTGTGATTATTAATTAAATGGTAAGTTTCTTTTAAATCCATATTAGTTGTTTTAATTATTTTGACTTATGTTTAAAGTTTTGCGAAACGTCATGACCACTCATAATAAAGGATATACTTTAATCGAAATCTAAAGGAATCGAATAAATCGTATTTTATAATATTAATTATATTAATATTTAACCTAGAAAAAGACATTACAACACGTGTGTTTTATTTATATTAAATAAAAACGTGTGTTTTAGCTGTCAAAATTTGAGTTAGTTATAACACATCCAAAATATACATATCAAAATGCTTATAAATATAATAATCTATCTTTCGTATCTATCTAAATATAACAATGGTTTTTATATGAAGAATATGAAAATGTTACATTTTAAATGTGTATTATTTATACAAAGTATAAATACAATATGCATATTTTACAGGTTCCATAGTCTTTATTAAAAAACATTAAATTATTCATTTAAAATATACCAATATATTATTAAATTTGTTAAGCATCCATAATGCTAAAATATATGAGAATTAAAAAAATACAATATATTTTTTTAAATTGTAACACTTTTTAGAGCCATGAGTTGATTTCAATATATCTTTATATTCGGAATTTTAACATTTATATTATGACAGCAAATTATTTTTTTCATATTTAATTTATTTGTTAAATAGTTTTATTATATTTTTATTCCCCTTTTCGCAATATTTTGACTCTCATGTTGTTCTTGCATAAAACACCTCCATTATCCTATTTAATGGGATAAATGATTTTTTTAAATTGTTTATATTAATTAATATATGTAACAATATTATAGGTTCATTTATATTGACCGAATTGTAACAGTTCAAGTTATTAGAAAATAACCAAAATAATTACTACGTTTTATTAACTTTATTTAAGAGCATATGCGAGAAAAGTTATTCTTTTCACCTCAAATCTTAAGCATTTTTTATATGTTCTATCTCAAATCTTCTTTTGGGGGTTTGTTTTAAACATTTTTAAATAAATAATTATAATTACTATATATTTTATTGTTCATGAAATATATACTCTGACGATCTTATCGCTCAGAACACTTAAGAATGTTCACACTAAAAGAATATATCGAATAAATCCATCTGAGGATATATGTATATTTTAGAATAACGGATATGAAATATATACACTTTTAAATTGAATTGTAAGTTTACAATTTGTATTTAAAGTATAAAACTTTGCATAATTTAGAAAATAAAAAAAAATTGTTGGAACCGTATAAGTAAACTTTAAAAATTAAAAATCTTAGTATGGAACCCAAAAAAACTAACAAAATTTACACATTTTTTAAATCTTTGCGAAATATCTAATAATTTGATGTACATATGTTTACAAATACAATGTTTTTACTTTTTTTCTGTATCTCCGAAACCGCTCAACCTACTTTCCCAAAAATAATCACTTCTTTATTTCGTCAATACGAGTTAAATATTTTTTGAAAAATTCCAAACGGGCATTACGTTGTCTCAAAAACTGAACTACCCTTGGAACTTTTTGCTCTGCATCTTCGAAACATTCAAATTGGTGGATCCGTGCGCCCGAAATCGTGGACGAACTAGTGGTGCGCATGGCATTTGAAAAAAAGACTTTTTGAAACAAAATGTTTTTTTTATTTTGGAAATTCTGAACTTTTTTCAAAGCAATCGTACTGCTTTAACTGCATATCGAAATATCGAAGCGCGTAAGCGCCGCGTCGCCGTCTAACGGATAAACATTGGTACGGAACCCATAGAAATGTAAACAAAATTTATACTTATTGTTAAAATCTCTATAAAATATCTGATAATTTGATGTGCATATCTCTAATGGTCATTTTTGACCACCCAATGGCATTTTTTTTACTTTTTTCATAAGATCTCCGAAACCGCTAGACCTGCATTCATGAAAATTTGATCAATTCTTCATCTTGTCAAGTAAAATATTTTTTGAATTATTTAAATCGGTTGATCGGTGTTCCCGAAATCGTCGACAAAAATTTGTATCCAAACACACACACATACACGCACACACACACATACATCCATTTATTCTAAGGACTGCCAAAATATTCAGAAACCTCTGAAACGTAAAGATATATAAAAAAATTCATTTTCGATTTTTTTGCGATTACTATAACTTCCTCTACGGGAAGTTAAAAATTGTATCCAAACATACATATATACACACACATACATCCATTATTTCTAAGTTATGCCAAAATATTCAGAAACCTTTGAAACGTAAAGATATATAAAAATTTTCACTTTCGATTTTTTTGCGATTACTATAACTTACCCTACGGAAAGTTAAAATCTAGAAGAGTTTTCAAAATATCCAATAAATTTATAAGCAGTATATTATTGATTAGTAATACTTACATTATTGAGAAACACTTCCCCGACGCAGCTAGTATGTGGCGTTTCCCACACAATGGATTTTTCCAAATCATTCAAAAACGTCCTTTGAAATGCTAAAAGTTCTTCCAAATTGCTAAATATATTATTTATTTGTTCTTGTGTGAACATATCTGGTCGACGTTTGCACTCCGCCATATACCCATCGGCGACGTCTGTCATTATATTTACGAAATCTCTTTCGGTATGAATGAGTTCCAATATAACATTAGATCTGATCGTTTCATGTCGAGGTGTTGATAGAGTTTGTGTAGGCAAATCTTGGGAAACGAGAAGCTGAAAACGATTTTATGAATAAATATAACAAATATAGACATAAAGATTTAATTTAGATTAATCTAGGTACAAATGGCATTGTACTTTTGTTACGTAGTTATAGAATTTATTAAAACTCTCCTTCGATAATTCAGGTTATGGTTTATAATATAACCCTTGTTGCTGTGGACTGTATTAAACACTGATTTGTTTGTATATTATGTATTTGTTGCAGTTCTAATTACAATTACTGATTTGTTACTAAGTTATAATGAAAGAAGATATATTTATTTTAATTGGTTTTTTACATGTTGTTAAGCGGACTTTACATTTTGAAGTGTACAACTAGTTCAATTAAAATACTTCGCTACCCCCTCTACCAAGGGTAGCAACCAAACCGTGTAAAGCTTAATGCCCTGAAGTTTGTCACCTTTATGGCCAATATAATAAAACGAAAAGACGTCCGAAAAGGCATCTTGCTTTAAGTCAGGATGTATAAACAACTCATACAAGTCACATGTAAATCGATTTAATCAATAAGAAATCAATATATTAATTTATAAATTATGTATTCAGAATATGAGGAACTATTACAATTTAGACAAATTTTCCAAACATTTTAGTTATTTTTGACAAATTGTTACGTGGATAAATGGACATATGATTGAAAAACAAACATGCCCCTATTATATTACATACACGTAATATATTCCAAAACGCAGCCAAATACAATTTGGCATGTTGTAGGCCTCTAATATTTTAGTATGTTCAATAAGGTTCTGATCTCTATCACCGTACAAAGTTTCATTAAAATCATCAAAATATTTTTATTGATAATCAACTATGAAAAAATGACCTGACCGATATTTGCCATAAACTAATAAGCACGATTTCCAAATGCTATCTTTTGAACAGTTTCCTAATTTTCAAAATTGGTGCGACTGTTTTTGAGAAAACATTGTCAAAAAGTTAATGAGAGACTTTCAAATGATATCTTTTGAACAGTTTCTTAATTTTCAAAATCGGTTAAGCTATTTTTGAGAAAACATCACGAAAGACCAAAAATTTGGCCTCAAAGGATTAAGAATGACTTGAAACGTCTAGAAAACACAAAATTAGCAATTCGGATTTTCTGGAGAAAAAATGATGCTGTTAAGAATACATTAAAATAATTGATAAATATTATCCATTTGAAAAAGAATCATTTTTCATAAATTACTAGAAAGCGTTTAATTCTTACACAGTCGTTATAATTTTGAAAATAATATAATTTTCTTTTTATATTCGGAAGGCGCTGTTCCATTACTGAATAAGAGGTTTAAAAATCAATTGAATTTTTATGAGTGTAAATTATATTCCTGTGTATCCTCTTATTTTTTTTTAAAGTAATTACTATTTCTTCAATTTTTCTGGTTATTTATATACATACCAAATCAAACCAGTTTTTTGGTTAAAACATATTTTTAATGAATCGTCTATTTTGCTTAAAAAATATTGTATAAAATTGTTTCTAGCACTGATAAATAGGAAAAAAAGTTTCTTTGAGAAATAATTAAGAAAAAGAATTTATCGATTATAGAAATTTTTGTAGGAGAAACCGCAATGCAATTTTTCAAATTTAAACATTTTAAGTAAACTTTGAAAGATGACAGCTAATTTTCATCATTTTGATTTTTGATAAATAATTGGGTAAACGTAGATTAAGATCTAAATATTGTAAATTTAACTTTAAAGTTTTGTATATAATTGGTCTTAAAACTAAGGTATGCAGTGCCATTGAAACTAAAGAAGTTCTAACTATAAATAAGTATACTTAAAGATAATTTCTTAATACTTACCCTAACAAAAGCAGCAGGAAACCACCCTGTTTTCCTATCAGCTTGGCCCCACCACCAGTCGTTGTCCCTCTGATCAAGAATTAGAACCGACTGACCAGCTTTCAACGCCAATTCTTTGGGGTCCATTGCTACATGGTCCCAGACTGCTTCTCCCCATATGCCCTGGCATACGGGATCCGAACAGGCATCCTGGAGTAGTAATAATAAATTAATTTTAAATTTATATAAATAGTTAATTAATTATTCAAATTATTCAAATAAATTTATTAAACTTTGATTCGCAGTACTAAATTGTATTCTAATACTGATTTCATTTTAAGTTGAGCAATAAACGAGTTAGGTAAATTTTAATTTAAACATTGATTCGTTCAAACAAAACCAATCTTAAAATTATAACAATCAAATATATTGGCTTTTCATGCACATGGCTCAAATAACTAATTTCATATTTCATAAAAATGTAGGCATCAAATATTTATATATTTTAGTTAACATGAATTTCAGTATCTTAATACAACATATTTCAATTATTATAAGAAATTATATGCTAAATTATGAGGTCGTAATGTAAATCGGCCCAATTTTCATCCTGCTTTTTCTTTAATAAGAACAAAAGCAATATTTGTACCGTATTGCCTTGAATTTTTTAAAAGGATTCTATTTTCAATATTCATTTCAAATATATTTCAGCTAGAATTATTTTTACAAAAAAACTGATATTCATTATATACCAAAATAGTATTATTATTCTAAAAAATAATTTTAAAAATCATGCTTAAGTTATTAATCTAACTGCCCCTCTTCTGTAAGATTCTATCTCGAATTTGAATCCGACATAAAATAAAAAGTTACAAAAATATGTTGTTGGTCACTTAAACATCGTATAAAATGATCTAACACAATATATTGTTAATTAATTTTATAAATAATATTTATATTAAATGAATAAAAATACAAATTAATTACGCTTAGTTATTATTGCCATTAAACAATATAAATGTGCTATAAATACAAGACAAATAAAAACGCAATAAATCCTCAATTAACAGCATCAAGTAACTAAATCACGAAATAGAACTTTTTTAACTACTGAAAATAACATTCATGAATATGATATAGTAAAAAACCAGTTGGGTGTATGGCATCGTGCCTTAAGGAAAATTGCTGGAACTTCCCGTACCGTAACGAAATGTTCGAGGCATACTGAATGTTTTGAAATAGATTATTAATATTGTAACATTGTCCAATATTTATAAGAATTTTATAAACTGAATTGCAAAGTTGAAATTATTTGTTCAAAGTATATTAGAACTTTAGTCAGAATTAAAAATAAAATTTGAATTATTTTCGATATACCAAACAAATTTTTTTTTGAAAAAAAAAATTGAAAGAAAAAGTTGAAACAAAATTTTTTTTTCCAAAATCAATTATTTTGTTGAGACAATCAAAAAGTTCTTTGAATCATTTAAATCGAACGCTTAGTTCTCCCAAAAACTGTGATTTTTTGCACATTTAGCTTCGTATCTTCGAAATGGCTGGGCGTGCCTTTGCCAAAATTTGATAAACACTTTTCCCGATCATTACTAATTGAATGTTTTTTTAGAACATTTTCAATTTCGATTTTCGGCCCATTACAATAACTTACCCTACGGGAAGTTAATGATATTGACAATAATACTGATAATATAATAATATTGAAAATAATACTGATAATAATAATAATTGAAATTACAATTAAAACAAAATACGATGTATAACATAATAAACCTGAATGACATTTATATCTGAAACTATTAGTTTATTATTGAGCAGAATATTGACGGTGATATCAAATAAAATTAACTAACAATAGCGAAGTAAAAAATAGAAACTATATAATATTTCTAATAAAAATTGTTCAAATTATCGATTAACTCACCTGTGCTTGACAACATTCCTCGCAATCTGGACAACTGGAGTCCTGAGAATCCTGCACGTTCGTCGCGTGCATGACTAGTAAATCCGTATGGCTTAGTGACGAACCAGAATCGCTGACACATTCATCTTCCGAAGTTCTTTCTTCGTCTGTATTTTGATTCGTTACTGTTGAAAAGGTAAATATTTTTCAATTCTCATGGTGAATAAATCCGATATCTTATCCACTAATAAAAATATACATCATTTACGTTTATTGAATTTAGAAAAGTTGATAAAGTCTGTTTAAAAAATGTGGAAAAAATATACATTTGTGTTGATGAAAAATATGGTGAGGATGTTTATAATTTTGCCGGAAGGAAATATTATTAATAATTATATATTTAGACTACATTTAAAAATGTGTAAACAAAAAAAAAACAAAATTGATTGATTATTCAAATTAATCATAAATATTTGATTTATGTATATTTATTATAAAATCTATGATTAAGCGTTATTTATCAATGAAAAATATATTGAGATGATTTAGCATTATGGTTACGCAAAATGAAATTAAACTAGTGGGGTGTATGGCATCGTGCCTTAAGGCAAATTGCTGGAACTTCCCGTACCGTAACGAAATGTTAGAGGAATACTGAATGTTTTCAAATAGATTATTATTAATATCGTAACATTGTCTAATATTTATAAGAATTATATAAACTGAATTGCACAGTTGAAATTATTTGTTTAAAGTATATTAGAACTATAGTCAGAATTAAAATTAAAATCTGAATTATAATCGATACACAAATTTTTTTTTTTTGAAAAAAAAATCAATTATTTTGTTAAGACAAGCATAAAGTTCTTTGAATCATTTAAATCGGACGCTTAGTTTTCTCAAAAACTGCCATTTTTTACACATTTAGCTCCATATCTTCGAAATGGCAGGGTCTGCCTTTGCCAAAAACTAATAAACACTTCTCCCAATCATTACTAATTGAATGTTTTTTAGATCATTCAAATCGGATGCTCCGTTCTCGCAAAAACTCGATTTCTATTTTCTGCACTCTTTGCTCTTTATCTCCGTAACTGCTGGACCTGCCTTTGCCAAATACTAATCAGCTCATCTCCCTATCAATAGGAATCGAATGTTTTTTAAACCATTCAAATCGGTTGATCCGTGCGCCCGAAAGCGTGGCTGGAAAATTGTATCCATACATACATACACACACACACTCATCCATTTTTTCTGCGGTATGCCAAAATGTTCAGAAACCTTCAAAACGTCGAGAAATGCAAAAATTTTCAATTTCGATTTTTGGACGATTACAATAACTTACCCTATGGAAAGTTAAAAAGCAATAATGATATTGCGTATTAATTTCTGGTCATTAATTTATATTGTAAATAAGACGTAAGTAGCATTTTGCTTAAGGAAAGTTACAAACTTGAGAATAAGAACGAGAACTTTGAGATTGAGCTAGTTTTTTTCTTGTGGCGATAGAATGTTGAAATTATAACACAGCACATTGTTCCACTCTTTATAATTAACACACTTTTTGCAGGCCTATAATATTTTAGGATGTTAGTTAAATTTTATTTTCAATAATTAATAACAAATACACAAACCAGAACCGAGAAACTAGCAGCATTGATATTTTTAGAAATTCTTTTCAATTTTAAAATTCGGTTCATGTTTCGCAAAACTAATTAACGCGAGCCCCTAATAAATTTCTTAAAAAAGCGTTCAAACTTTGGAAATCGGTTCAGTTTTTTTTTTGAAAAATCTTCAATAATGTTTCAAATTTTGGCGCACACACATATAATTTTTTCAAAATTGATCTCAAGCAGTTCGAAAGGATTTGAGACGTTGAGAAAACATGAAATTAGCAAGTCGGATTTCGATGAAAACATGAACTTCTCCTTCGGCAATTAATCCTTTCCACTTGCATGTCGCCGCAAAATGCATATAAATCTCGCAATTCGCGAGAAGAAAGGGTTAAAAAATAAGTGAGGCTAAATATTAATAGATTATCTTATTCATAAAGATTTTCCTAAAACCCGTAATAATATTTTACGTGCTTACGATCAATCATCATTAACATCCTATTTATAATGATGGAACAATATTGTAAATGAAAAACCATTTTGCCATTCTAGTTTATAGAGACTTGTGTTATAATACACAAAAATGGTGAGATACATCTTGAAAAATAGTTAGATAAATTATGAATATGTACAATGTACAACCTAGATGGTAGTAACATTTGGAAAAAAAACATTATGTTTTATATAATTGTATTGAACTATTAATGATAAATTCAATAAAAATTTGTCCGTTTTGTAACAAATTACATTAATATTCAACACATATGCTATTAAAAAATGTAAAATGCAACCCTTCAATTTCCAAAGCTGGTCATTCTCTAATACACCAACTTTCCACATTGGCCTAACAACGTATTGTTTTCTTATTATATGGTCAAAATATTAATTAAAATTGATGTTGACAAAGTTTGCCTTTGATATAGGACGTATCCATCACTTTTATTTATTTTTTTTAAATATAAATCTTATTAACATTTTCTACTATCTTATAAAAATGTGTCAATCATTATCATTATAAATCTAAACCATCACACATACCTAATTTATTTTTCCTACGAAGATGCGGGCTGTCATATTTGTCAATATCGCACTGACTCAAAGACCTCCTCATCCGACGTGCACGAAGTGAACCGAAGTGCGGTCTAAGGGGCGTACTTGGTCCCTGGAATTTCCTACTAGCACTCCACTGGAGTAACCTTTGACCACCACTGCTTGAGCTGCTAATATCAGAATGAGCTCGTCGTACGTTGGGATGACGATTTCCTTTAGTGAGTTCAACCTGGAAGATAAAATAAACTTTGAGAATATTGTTATGACAGATTTATGAGATGGATACAAAACAATAGTAAAGATTAAGTTTTTAAAATGCCTTCGCTTTTTGTGCAGAAGTCCTTGTTAAAAATGTCAGTGGAATCCGCCACATTTTTTATATATTAAACCCACGTGTGCATTTTGAGTACTTATCTATACATTTCATTTCTGGCAAAAACAAGAGAATTTTTTGATTTGTGGAACAATTTTACACAAGGCCTATAAAATCGATCTAAAAATCATTTTCGAAACTAGTTGATATTGGTATTTTGCCTTGAGGCAAGTTACATGAACTTCCCGATATGTGTAAATAATCGACATAATCAATAAAATATGAATTAATTTATATGTGATTGAAAGCACTCCGAGACGATTTATTACACAAATTGAACACGAACGATCACGTTAATTCGGAGTATTTTCTAAAAGCAAATTTTCAAAAATCAACAATTTTTGTAATTGAACCAGTTTCCGTAGGACTTTAATGGTTTAGTATGTTCATTAAGATCAAGTACTCTATCATTATACCAAGTAAATCGTCTAATTTTAATTTTAACAAATATTAAAAAGACTACTCATTTTCTCAAACTTTGATGAATTTTTAAAATTAAACTACTTGTCGTAAGGCCTTAATATTTCAGTAAGTTCTATAAGACCATGATATATATCGCCGAAAAAAGTTCCATGAAAATCGGCTTAAATTTTTTTTTCAACACTTAATTACAAGAAAACGGCTCGGTAGATTTTCACCTAAAACTAATCAGTATCATTCCCAACTAATATCTTTCGAACAGTTTTTGATTTTTTAAAATCGTTTCGGTAGTATGAGCTTAAATGTGGACGAAAATTCTAACACTTTTTTCCAAATTACAGAGAAACGGCTTGGCAAATCACCGCACAAACTTAACAAACGATAGTCTTCATTGAGATAAATCAAATGGCTTTTAAATTTCTGAAATCGGTTCAGGCGTTTTTGAGAAAACGTCAATGAAAGGTTTAATTTTGACAAATGCCAAAAAAAAACGATATTAATTTTTGCAAATTTTGAAGAATTTTTAAAACTAAACGACTTGTCGGAGGGCCGTAATATTTTAGTATGATCTATAAGAGTATGGTATCTACCGTCAAAAAAAATCATAAAAATCGTCGAAAAATTTTTTTTTAACACATTACAAGAAAACGGCCCGGCCGATCTTTACCAAAAACTAATCAGCACGATTGCCAACCAATATCTTTCGAACAGTTTTTGAATTTTCAAAATCGATTGTGAATTGCGGGTTAAAACGTGTAATTTACAAAGAAACGGTTTGGCTGATCGTCGCTCAATAATTGATAAACTCTAGTCCTCAACGGGATACATCGAATGACTTAAAATTTTGAGATCAGTCCAGCCGTTTTTGAGAAAACGTCGATTTACGGCAAAAAATCTGTTCACATACACATACATACTTTTTCCACATTTGGTCTCATTCTATTCAGAATGGCTTGAAACGTCGAGAAAACATAAAATTAGCGAATCGGATTTTTTGATGAAAACATAAACTCTTTCGGGAAGTTAATATGGCTTGCACAAATTATTTGCAATAAAAATAATAGGCAACTTACAATTCAGACTAATATTTATTCAGTTAATTTATTCTAATAATAATATAATAATAGGTCAGATCAATGCAAATATTAATTCATTTATAAAGTTAAAATTATTTTAGAATAATTATCCTCGTTACCTTTAATCTCTCGAAAAGAGCCCTTGTCGTATCCGAATTTGTTCTGACATTGCCAGAATCTGTCAAACTATCTGGCGCACAGCCTTCATCACAGCTATCGACTCCCACAGAACAACTTCCGAGCTAAAATATTTCAGGAAAACATTATATTAAGCCGTCATAAAAATATATCCATACATTATTTCGAATTTAATCAAACATGCATGACTTGCAACTCCCTACACGAAGTTTGCGAAACTAATTTTAAAGTGCTGATGAACTTTATTTTCTGTATAAAGGTCTAAGAGTGAACCTGTATTTTATACATGGGCACTATATATAAAATATAACATTCATCAATAAAACAATAAAAAAATTAAGAATAATTTAAAGTTTATACTAATCAATTATTACCACAGGATGCATAGTTACCATTTCTCAGAGTCCTGTCTGGAGATGCAAGTCCTGGATAAATATTAGTAGTTAATTTAAAATGTTACGGTCTCATGTTTTTCATACCTTATACAAAACAATATTATATACTAAGCTATTAAACTTAAAATATATTTATTGCATTTATGCTGTTACAAAATTCGGGCGCAGCTCCAAGTTTCGTCAGGGAAATACATTTTGTACCACCACACAAAGAATTTACATAGTCAAAATATAAAGTTTAATATTTATCTTATGGTTTTTATGGGCATTACAAAAATTCTGCCAAATATTTAAATGCCAATGGTAGAAGAAAACCAATATTTGCAATAAAATGAGTCTCATATTTTCTTCAAACTTTAGTTTAATATATATCTCATGGTTTTTATAGGCATTACAAAAATTCTGTCAAATATTTAAATGCCAATGGTAGAAGAAAACCAATATTTGCAAGAAAATGAGTCTCATATTTTCTTCAAACTTTAGTTTAATATATATCTTATGGTTTTTATGGGCTTACAAAAATTCTGCCAAATATTGAAATGCCAATGGTAGAAGAAAACCAATATTTGCAATAAAATGCGTCTCAAATTTTCGTAGTGCAATGTATTACATGTATTAAATATATATTAATAATCGTTCTAAAAATCAGAATTGAGTAATTTAAATATAATTTTAAACGCATATGGAAATAAGAAATATGAAGTTTGTATTTCTAATAAGCATAAAATTAGAAGAGAGATCAGGGCAAGGATTGCAAGCGCCAAGGCGGCATTTACCAGGAACAGAAACCTACTGACGAGCAGACTGAGTCTCAATTTGCGGAAGAGACTAAAAAGTGTTATGTCTGCAGCTCTGTATGGATCGGAGACATGGAGTCTCAAAAGGCCAATAAAAACTATCAGGATGGTTTTGAAATGTAGTGCTAGAGAAGAAGGAGGAACATGAAGTGGGCCGATAAGGTAACAAACAAAAACATACTGAGAAAATGGACGAAGAAGAACTCTGCAGAGCACGATCAGTAAAAGAAAAGAAAATTAGATCGGACCCATTTTGCCAATAAAGTGCCTTCTACATGAGGTCGTCTAAGGTAAAGCAAAATAACTAAAAGCATTAGTAAGAAGAAGAATGCTGATGTTTGGTGACTTATGCGAGAAGAAAAGATATGGGAAACTGAAACGCATAGGAGAAATTTGAACAGGAAAATATGTACATAAAAAAGAATAAAAAGTAATCAATGGTTGCAGAATGGTAATGGGAATAAGGAACAAGGGAAGGAAGAGAAATTTTTGATTTGTGGTTCTCTCATACCATGGACCTGCCTCGGGCAGACTGCTATTTTTTATTATTAAATATAAATCAATAAAATATTTACTTCGCTTGGTTCGATTTGAATTCCACTGTCACCACTATTGCACTTGGCGCTTCGTTGAGCTTTTGTCTTTTTCCTCTCTTTACTGGCTCGCCAAACCAAAGGACCAAATCTAAAAAATTAATATTTATATATATATATATATAAATTAAATTATTTACTTGAAGTAAATAATATAATTAATTATAATACTCAAAATACAGTGCCACATTCGAAGGATATAGTTACATAGCTGCCACAACTTTGCAAAGCCACAAATTATAATTTATGTTGATTAATATCATCGTATTTAATAAAAAAACAACTTGACATAAATGTTAAAGATCATCATATTAATTAATAAATCACGTCGTTAAGTTATTCGTCCTCTTCGTTTGGGCATTAAAAATTAACTGGTCAACAATTGTGATTCTATTAAAGAAAAAGATTTTCTCCCTCTTTTATTCTTCTTTTTTATTCGTTCGATTTTCAAATAATATTGGCTTGTAGATATTGAATTTAAATAGAAAATATTATTCCAATTTCCAATCAAACAAAAGTATATCCAATTAAAAATATTTTCATTAAACGAATGTATTTTTAGATATAATTCAATCGCCACAGAACTCGAAAACAAATAGACCGATTTAATTCAAAACAATTTGGTATGTTTTTGTCTTTTCTCATGATAATCTCCATGTCAGTCATAAGCAACATCTTAGTCTGACATATGCAATTTGGTAAAAGAAAAAAAAATAGTAGCCAAGTTACTAGGGCCAAGTTAGTCATATATGTATGACATAAAAATAGTGCTTTGCCAGGACTTTCGGCAAAAAAAATTTTGTTTGATACATTAAGTTTCCTTTAATAATGATACCTTGTGCATTTTTTTCTGAAATTGTCGTGGCGATTACCGTGTTAAATAACTATCATCAAATACGATTATTGAAAACTATAAAAATTATGAACACCTGACCCGTTTTTTAATAAACTTTTGATCCTTTATTACTTATAAATAATTTATATTAAAATGTTGCAATTTATATTAAAAACTTGACACATTGTTTTAATTTCAGTTTTCGAATTGTTTAATAATTCAATAGAAACTCAAAATAATTCAATTAAAGATTATAAATTATTACAGCATATCTCATAATAATTCAATTAAAGTTATTTTTTATTATAATAAACCCTTGTAGCAAATATATGGAAATTTTGAGATTATATTATGTTCGGTAAATAGATTTATCCCTGTACGCATCCTATCTTCATCAAATTATGCTGATTTTTTGAGGAATATAGATTTATGTCTATATTTTATATTCTGTACGACTTTGGTACGTAAGAAATATACGTTTCATAGAGAAATATACACATATCAGTTCTTAAAATCAATATATAATATATGGGTCTATTATATTTGTAAAATATTAGAACGATATTTTTTTAGCTTAAAGGAAAATAAAAAAATACATGGGGATAAAGGGACTTTGTAATGATATTATCAATGTTTTGCACTGAAAATTAAGAAAATCGAAATAAAAATCACTAAAATTATATTATTGTTATACGCTATTTTGTTAATTAGTATCATCTATTTATATAGATAATCTATAGATTTATATATTACGTGTAAATCTTAGAACAATATTTTTTTTAGTTTAGAAGAAAGAAAATAAAGAATTACATGGGAATAAAACGACTTTGTAATGATATTAAGCGTTGAAAATTAAGAAAATATAAATGAAAATCTCTTAAAGGATATCATTGTTATACGCTATTTTGTTAATTATTATCGATCATATATTTTTTGGATCAATGTTATATAGAGACCTACAAATTGTTTGCTGTACCAATGTCATGTCAAATCATAACAAAGAAAAATATCTTCATATTATATTTTATGATAAACATTCAGTTATTTCTGCGAAGAAATAATAAGAAAATTCGGTCTTAAATTTATCTCTTTAAAACATAAATCTTCCATTCCAAGCAAATATTTTATTTACCTTGGGCGAATCTATTACATAAGGTGCTCACCTGTATCGTTCTAGCGTATCAGAGCGCTTATTCCCGATGCTTTCCGACGGGCTAGGAGGCATAAATCCAGCCTCTCCTTCCGATTTCTTATTGAATCTCAACGAAAAAGTTTTTCTGAACTTCTGCAGCATACTTTCTGTTATTTACAGAAAAATATATATTAAATAGATTTTCCATACATAAATATTGCTTGAAAATAGATATTGAAATACTTTTATTTGACATCGATTAGGATGTAAGATACATGATTTTTACTCGTTAGATATCGAACATAAATATTTTACTTTTATGGACTTTTATAGAATTTTTAAAGGCATTTAGCACTCGGCCATTCCTGAAAATAAAGCTGTAGACTCATATTAAGAAGGATTTGACCCTAATTACTTTATAAATGTAAATAATAATGTTATAAATAAAAATAATGTTTCTTAAAAGAATTAAACATTGAATAATTAAAGATTCCAATTTCCAAAAATAAAAATATGATTATCCTGTTCTCGTGTTGAAACTTTTAGAACAATGTTTGAATGGTATGTATTATTACATTTTATATATTCTTAATCTAGAATTGTAATGATTTCACTTCTATTTACTTTAAATAAATTACTGAATTTTATTATAAAAAATATTATAATTGAACACAACTAACGGTTTAATTAAATGGAAACGTATAAGCAAAATGCTTTCGCCTATATTTTCATATATCGCATAATCATTGCTCATTATATATTAATAATATAATTAATTATTATATTTATCATTGTATAGAAAATAACTTCTATCCAGCTAGCTAAAATGAATCAGTTCTTCCATTTATTAGACAATTATTCAATAAACTTAGCTTACATGTGGTTGGGGTAAAAAGGACTAATTAAACCTTTACCCTGGCAAAGTCATAAAAAATGAAAAATAGTGAATGAAAATGTAAATCCAGTTACAAAAAAATAGTTTACAATAATTAAATTAAAATGATAGTTATTCCAACTCTGCTGATAAATATTTCCGAAGAAATACCAGATCAAGTTATATACAAGTGTAATCTTTGTAAAAAATGTGCCCGTGAAATTTATATTTTGCATTGGTTAAATATTTATAAGGGAATTGTTTTGTGTTTTTTATGGATAATGAATAAAGAAAAAAGATAGTAATGTGAAATAAAATTGTATCAAAAATAAATTTAGTACAAATTTCTAAAATAATTTCCAGCTATTATTAAGTAAAATCCTTTCAAAATTAAAAATCAAACATTGGATCTGTTTGTCACCTGCCTGTCCCATTTTACCCCGCCCATGGGGTAAAAAAGACCAAGTGACAAATTTTTGAAAAATAGAAAAAAACATTTCTACAATGTTGAATAAATTGTAAGTTTTACTGAACATAGTCTGATATTTGTCTGTTTTTTTCGTAGTATTTGTTATAATGTAACTCGTCTGGATTTTGCAATATAATTGCTCAAAGTCAAATTGGACCTTTGTGCCCCGCTCTACCCTACTCATAAAGGTATTCTACTGTAGAAATTCACAAAAATCGGTTTTTCTTTTGTTTCAGATTTTCAAAGTTTAACTATTTATAAATATGTGTATAAGAAGATTTTTTAAAATTTCGAAGATACAAGGTGTTTGGCCATGATAATCTTCTTCTGTTTTCTTCCTTTTGCAAAACTTTAAACGCGTCTTTCTCAAAACCGTCTTTTTCAATATGATGCCCATGATTTCTCGATTTCTACTGAACCGATTTACTTTAAACTTTTCAAAACATCTTTTTTGTGGACTCCTCTCTGGTATATACTAGGCACATCCCCAAATTCCAATGTTTACTATATTTAAAAATTCGAGAAACTCAAAGTGATTAAAAACGGCCTTTTTTTAAACATTTTCTCAAATATTTTTTTTAACTTGTCCGTAGTATATACCATAGCAACAGCATTCTGGATTAGTAATCTTTTTTTTTTTGAATCGGGGTTACTATGAGGGCTGCAATCGTGTACATGATTATGTCAAAATTTTGGGACCCTTATTAACTTTGTTCTTGTTTTTACTTTTTGTGTACTATTGTAACATTGATGAATAAATTATAGAAAATAATAATAAAAACATTGGTTGTCTCTTCTTTTACACTGATTTAGAAATGACTTACAATTAATGCCCCTACACTAGAATACCCCCTTAATAATAAATAAACTCAAATATATCAAACTATGAACTAACTAAAATTCATAGCATAATATTTAATGAACAAAATGTGCAATTGGAAAATTATTATTCAATTTATATATTAAAAATACTCTATCAAATAATTAGTATAATTAAGAAAATTGTAAGTTTTTATATTCAGGAATTTGCACAAGAAGAATAAAGAAAGTGTAATGATTTCAACTTTAATCGCGGTCGTGCAAAAAATTGCCGCATTAGATACTAAATAACTAAATTAAAAAAATGCACTTCAGCATAATTGCATCCAATCATTCCCTATATTATTTTTTAAACTTCATGAATGTTTGACTTGGACATGCAAGGTGCGTACTATTGTTGAAATTACCTGTAATCCGAGCTTGTTCGTCGTTGGCGATCTCCGAAGGCGCACGTGTTGCCTCAATAGCGGCTGGAAGGTGCGGTGTAGAAGCCGCCAACAGACGACTCTGCGGCGCCATGCCCCGAGATGGCTGCCAAGCAACAAACACCAACAATTAGATAAATCTTAATGGACATTTTATGATAATTATAGGTGTTTAACATATTTATTGTTAAAGGTTACATGCACTTGAAGACTAATTAATATGTTTGGATGTCTTACAGAAATATATACTCATGAGAAAAAAATAGAAAACTAGTGGGGTGTATGGCATCGTGCCTTAAGGCAAATTGCTGGAACTTCCCGTACCGTAAGAAAATGTTTGAGGAAACGCTTCTCCCAATCATTACTAATTGAATGTTTTTTAGATCATTCAAATCGGATACTCCGTTCTCTCAAAAAGTCGACTTCTACTTTCTGCACTCTTTGCTCCGGATCTCCGAAACGGCTGGACCTGCCTTCGCCAAAAACTAATCAGCTCTTTTCCCTATCAATAGAAATCGAATATTTTTGAACCATTCAAATCGGTTGATCCGTGCGCCCGAAAACGTGACTGGAAATTTGTATCCATACATACATACATACATACACACACACACATATCAATTTTTTCTGAGGTTTGCCAAAACGTTCAGAAACCTTCAAACGTCGAGAAATGTAAAAAATTTCGATTTTCGGCCCATTACAATAACTT